ATTAGAAAAAAATTTCAAAAGATATTTTTCGTTGGAAAATTAATCATGTACAAAAAAGGTCTAGTGACTTTTTTCCCTGAAATCACTCCTTACTAAGATAATCCAACCTTAATAAGAATATGAAAAAAGCACGTACCTCGTTTTACCACTTCACTACCGAATCCTGAGTCAAATCAAGACAATATTAAAAAATCATGAAATCAGCAACAAACCAGTGGAACAATTCAAGATGATTATAGCCCATGAAAATAAGATATATTTTCCTCTATTAACAAAATTGGTGAAAAAATTTTTGTCAGTAATCTATTTTACTAAATTTATGCTAGACTTTAAACAATTTCAAGTTTATCTTAGCATCATTTTTTTGAGATATGCGTGACGAAAATAATCATAAATAGTATTCGTAAACTTTTCTAGTACGCTTGAAAAAGGAGAAGGAAGGGTTCGTCATGAATATGTTATTTAAACATTTGCGATCAATTAACTATATGCTAGACTAAATACTCACTCCATAGCTACATTATCATAGATGAATCGAAAATCATTCAATGAATTAGTCACCCTATTGTGTAATTCATCATTGAATTGTTCTACCAGTAAAAATTCTTCGTCTGGGCAATGACGATGGATATTCCCATGTGTGATTATAAACTCCACGTCGTTGATTAGTTTTCCACGAACCCTGCATTGTTCTGAGTTTTTCTTGATGCAGTCATAATACCTGAAAAAATAAAATTTATTATTTATACGGATTGTCATATGAAATCAAAATATTGAAAAACAAATTTACAACTTCAAAAACAATCGAAATCTTCAACACTTTTTTTTTGTCAGCTATGGTGACTTGAAACTATAATTGAATGAAAAAAAAATGCCGAAATGAAACAAAAAACTGAAATTCCGCCAATAATTGAGGTAGAGAGCTACGGTTGCGCTCATTTTCCTTGTTTTGAACTATACTTTTTGATAAAGAATATGAAAAAACTTAGAGACATTTTGTTCATATGCAGGATTGGTGGATGGGCTCACTAATTATGCTAAGGTCAGCATAACTTTTGATTTCCCTGGGTACTCTCATTCCACGTAATTACCACTTGTCACAATATCTCCCACTTCTAAAAACGAAGGCAAAAGTTATTCTGACTTCAGTATACAGGCCAATAGAAATTTATCTACTTTAATCACCCAATTACTGCCCCAGCACTGCCGTTGGTGTGATTATGAGGAAAAATGAAAAAAAGTATCATTGGCAAAGGGTCCCTCATAAATCTGCCTTGGATCCCTCGATGGAGAATAGAATCTGTATTTTCTATAGTATCCATGCAGCACCCCGTAAAGCATCCTCTTACTACTGTCGATGTACTGCCAACCTTTCTACTTTGTTACTGCCGACAGTGACAAGATAGTGGGTCAGTAATTTCTATCGACAGTGGCAAGACAGCAGACTGGAGTCTTGGCTTACTGGGTCATAAACTGCAAAAAAGTTGTTCTGAATTTTTCACGTAAACTCACTCATTGTAGGAATATTCGCAAATTTGCGTTTTGAAATTTTTTCCTGGCCCCGTGAGTTCCCAAGACATTTTCAAAATTATATAAACAAAATTTTTTAATAATCCATTTTTATCACTTTTTGTCACAGACAAAACGTTCCTGAAAATTGAAAACAAAGCTGAGAACAATGACGCAGTTTCGTGACATAGATAAAGTATGTAGAGCCTGCTTGAGCGAGGACAGAGAGAATAAATCTATTTTCGGGGTTGAAAATTCGAGGAATCAAATCCAAGGGATTGGACCTGTGGAGGATATTGGAGTCCGTTAAGTTTCAATACCAGCATACATTTGCTAATTTTTTAAATCACTTTCTGGTGTCTAAAACCGATGGTCTACCCCAGAGAATTTGCTCCAAGTGTGTCTTGAAGCTGAATGTGTCCCACAGTCTCTGGGAACATTGTCAGGAGGCGGACAAGCTCAGGGACTACCTCAGGAAGACTGCGGATGAGAAAGTATGACTCAATTAACGAAATAGAGACCCAATCACGAGAATATTTCCCTAAATTGATGAAAAAAAAATTGAATTTCAATTTGTTTTGCAGGAGACCCCCTTTCCTCAAACTACCAAAAAGCCCAAGAATCTGACGTCTTCTTGATCATAAAAAATGAAGAACTTCGTCGTCTCAATAAAAATCCTCCCCTCGACAAATTCCCTCCACAGCCCTGCAACCCTCCAGAGTTGCTTGAAAAATACCAGAAAAATTTTCCAGGCTCCTCAGAGCCCCCATTTCCAGGTCAAGAACCTCCAGACCCTCTCCAGCCCTCCAACTCCGCAAAAAAACCTTGGAGGGACACTTCAGCCTGATCCAAAACCTGAACTCCCTCCAAGAACTCTCCAACAAGGACTTCAAGCTCTTAAACTCCTTCCAAAAGGTCTCAGAACCCCTCGAAGAAATCTTGAAAGGTCCCCACTCCCTTGAGATCAGCACCGAAGTCCTCAAAGCCCCGAGGAGGCAGTTCACCTGTGCCTCGTACTCCAAATTCTTCAAGACGAAGAAGTCCCTCATCAGTCATAACTCGAAGCTGCACTCACAGTCACCTGAGGCCCTTGAGGACCAGGATTGCAAGTGTGAGACCTGCAGCAAGACCTTCAGAAGTGAAGTGAAGCTCCAGAGGCACCAGAAAACCCACAAGGCGCTGAAAATTCCAGACTTCAGGAAATTTCCTATGCCACATCTGCAGCAACACTGAGGAGGCGAATTACCACTGCAAGACATGTGGAAAGTGCTGCAAGAGGCTGAAGTACCTGAAGGACCGCACAGGTTCATTCACACTGACGAGAGGCCCTACGTCTGCAAGATTTGTGGGCCTGGGTACAGCCACTCTGGGAGCCGTTTCGTGCATGAGAAGAAGTGCAAGACTGTAGTGAGGAGCTTTGTGGAGAGGGGAGGGGTCTGAGGGAGGGGGGGATGAAGTGGTGATGTCCAGGTCGAACCCCTCGCAATCCTTGAGCACCTGGGTCTCCTGTCGCCTTCAAATGTCCTCTATAATTCATCCACAGAAGACACTCCCAAGATAATTTGATAATTAATTAGAGGTAATGATAGTTTTTTCATTAGAAAAGAAAACTTCTGTAATAAGAATAATCTCCAGCGAAATAATAAATATTTTCGTAACAATAAATTTGGTGTCAAGGTAGCAGACTGGAGTTTTGGCTTAATGGGCGTATATATTTACCGGATAGTTGTGTTCCACCCTGATTTGTATGTGAATACGTGTCCGGTAGGCACATGCAATACTTTCGGGTACTTCAAGTTTTTTTTTCTTGGAATAACCGGCATTATTACATCAAGACGCACTTAGGAACAATACACGATTCACTTATGATGACTCCTTGCTCGATGAAAATCATAGGTCGAACGCTTTTCAACTAACCACCTTCCGGAGATGTTTATCAACTGCACTCATTGTCGGTTGGCAAGGTTGATGAGGTTCTTATCGATATATCTGCGAGTCGAATTATTTCATGTAGCGGCGAAAAGGGAGGGAGGGCGGGCGCGTTAAGGGTAAGGCATTCGCGTCTTGGCAGTACGCACGCAGGATTCGGTTGGGAGAATTGTTCGCGGTCAGCGAAACCATCTCCAAATAAGAATGACCCGGATACGCCAGCACCACTGGCTACCCTATCTTCACGGAGCTGATGATCAAATAATCGTGAACGGCTACTTGTACAGACGAGAGATGACAGTTCGAAGACAGACGTATGTAGCTCCGTTTTTCAATTATTTTGTCATTCCGGCCGTTCTGACAAAAAACATTGTTCG